ACTCTTCAGCACCATCTGTTTTATAAGCATTGTGCTGGAAAATATAAATACAAAATAATGCATTATTGAGAAGCTTCTCCTGATCTTCTAAGCTAGCAGTGGTCTCTTCCTCTTATTCCCATAAGGTCTTTCTTTCCACAATGGTGCCTGCAGTGGCCCCCTGAGCATTTTCTGCTACTGGATGTGTCCTCTCCCTTCATGTGGACTGTTTGCCAGCTCCTTGCAGCAGGGACTGTATTTTCTAACATATACTCAGCAATACTACAGTAATAACCTTTAAGCCAGCAAAGGTTTTAGGATACCTTCAATATGTTACTGGGCTAAAAGTGAACAGAGTAGAAAAAAAATTAGCATTTCAAGCTTAATAATAAGATTCTCTAGTTCCCTAAGGAAAAAAGAGACATATAATTTTGAACTAATTATGATTTCAGCTGAGTATTAATGAAGCACGAAGTCCCCACCAAGGACACTGTGTCTTGTGAGGCGGAGATCTCCTCTGCCCCTTCTCTGCCTTTGTTCTTGTTTATATGCAAGGCCTTTCCAGTTTATGATCCCTATAGTTTGCCTTGCAGCAAGCTGCCAAGTATTTCCAGCCCACGCCTCTGCTTGGCTGCAGAGCATGAGAACGGGCTTGGAAAACAACAGATCAGAATATTTTTTTAAAAGATTTTTTTGGTGTTCTTAAAAATGCCCATTTTTAAACATAAATATTTATGCCTATTGCCAAACTGAACCTCCATTTGTCATGGGGGGACCTTCAGTTAGGCTGTAGTCTGAAGAGGACTCATATAAACAGTATTTACTGTTTATTATGACAAGATTGATGAGGAACTCTGGAGGGAGTAATGCCTGAAGCTGGTTTTCATATTTTGATTCCATGCATAAAAGAACAGAAAGGATCAGCCCTGGGTAAGCATTCAGAGAACTTCTGGCTTCCCCATGCCGGTTGTGATAATTTATGGCCTCTGGATGTGCAGACCACAGTAATCGCTCTGCATCATTCCCACCTGTGAAACTGAAAGGCAATGCAAGCACAAGTCTTTTTTTGTGGAATAGCTTTCTTTTATTTATTTATTTTCACTTTAATGCCCAGCATTCTTCTGACATTTTCAAGTTCTCCCAAAGAATCATGCGGGAGAGTTCTTTTTAGAGCAGCGGTGTGTCGTGGGAGTGGGGTCATGGCCCGAAACGTCTCCATTTCTGGACCCATTACAAAGCCCACAGAATCAGTCTCTGTGGGTCAGGTCCGGGCCTCTGTGTGCCACACTGCTGCAGGAGGCTCATCCCTTCTTGGAAGGCTGACTGGCATTCCTGAGCTGGTGGAGAGACTCAGGAGGTCTCTGGCTTATGACTGAACTGCAAACTGTGCCTGGGAAGTTCTGGGTCCAGATAGTTGTGATTTCATTGTTGTTTCTTTTACTTCCATAACTAAGTTTACTTCTTTGTGTGTGCTGGGTCAACCTCTAGTCTTAGCACGTCAGTGCAAGTGTTCTTGTTTTCTGTTAAATTGACTTTTATGGAACCATCAAGTATGTCAGAGTCCACTTACATGTTTTAAACGAAATGAATTCATCTTTATACTGACGGCTCAGCTTACATTTCGAACAGCCTTCTCTGCAATGTGCCAGGCTATCACAGTGTGAATGTCTCCAGAAAGCTCTGCTTTTTGCTCCTATTAGAGACGTGAAAGGAAATTTGGCTACATGGTACCATTCAGTAAGCAGGACTCACCAGGCTGGACAAAGAAAACTTTATTATTTTCTTCTATGGCCCATTCAAATTGCGTCCTTAGAGTCCCTGTGTTGGCACCTTGGGAAAAAAGTTATGTTGCATCATGAATTTTCATTTTCAAGTAGTAGAGTCTTTTACTTATTCATAGATACTATAAAGTCTCCACTTCCTTTATTAATGTATCTAAGATAGAGCAATGTATTTGAAATAGCTCACAAATTCTCAAGCATTTGTTATTGCCCTGTCCAGCACAGTTCTTGCTAGGGCTGCCTGCTTGTCCTGTGAAAGACAGGTTGGCAGATCTTTCTCCTTTACTCTGCCTGGAGTTGTGCTTGTCTTCTGGAAAGTTTACTTCTTTTCATTTTACTCAGTAATTGTCTCTGGTTCCTCCAGGGATAAGGGATGCAAAGTGAGAGGTAGGAAAGCCTTGGGAAAGAAAAATTTACATGACAGACACTGCCCAGTACAAGTGGCTGTTGCTGATAGGGGAGGGGTTACTGCCTGATGCTTCTTCTGGGGGTTTTCACAGCTTCCTTTAAAAACTCTCCATTATGTAATCTCATCTGCCACCACTTGAAACACTGAGATGCCCAGCCAAGCACTTCCAGCATCTGGATGCAGAGGTTTCTTTTTATTATAATATTTGGCTCACATTAGCGATATTTTGAAGTAGGATTCACCATGACATTTTTTAGGGGCCTCTTCACCCTGACTTCATGTAGTATCTGATGTACCACCAAAGCAGCAGCTTTCGTGCTGGATGCATGCGTAGTCTTGGAGGAACTCTTATTTACCATTTGTTCTGGCAAACTTTGAACATGCCTAATCCTGCCAGCTCTTACATTTTGCCATCATGACTCTAACAAGCCAGTTCTGCCCTTTGCATCTTGCAGGTGGTGCCAGAGTCCAGCACAATGAGACAGGCATCACACACACCAGGTGACTTGCTTTATCCCTCTGGAGTTGGGTTCAGGTGAGGGAGAAGAACATGTACAACACAGCTCTCTCCAGAGACCCTCTACTTATCAGTTTCTTCTCTAGTGACTTTGTATAATGGAGACTGCTACCACCTGGTCAGTTGAAGGTGGAACACCCTGGTCCTTGCTCACTTCCTCTGCATGTCTTGGCATGGTGTTCCCTTCGCTCATATTTTTAATGTGAGTGCACATTGCCATTTGTATCCTTGGACTTCAGTGCAAGGATTCAACTTGGACCCTAGGACTTAAGGCATTCTTAATTTGCATCACTTAAAATCATTAAGATATATATAT